GATTCGTGACAAAAAAAGAAAACATTTCCCATAATCCGGAACTGAACAGATTTTTTGTTCTACTCGTACTCCTTCAAAGTTTGATCATAGAAATACAAAAGGTCATGTCAAGTTTTCTATTTATGTGTCGACCATTGCTGTGTAATTGTAAAGTCATCAAAGTACTCAATACACTCTGATTGCACATTGTTTGAAATAACGGCAACCGTAGAACATCTTTAATGCGTTGATTATTCAATTATTAAAAGGCAGATGGCGAGATAATTGTTACAGAATGTATAATTAAAGTGTCGAAGATACTATGTTAAAAATATTAGAAATACATTATAGAGTTTTTGCTCGTTATGTAGTCCGAAGCGAACAATTACAATTGTAAGATGAGAAATATCCGCCTTTAAAAATCCTCTGAGATGGATTACTTACCTAAACTGAAGGTTTGATTTTTTCATTTACATATGTTACTGACTTAGAATTCGTATTATAATGTCTAAATCGATTCGATGTTATATCCTTCCAATTATTCACGGTCTGATATGTTGTGTAAGAGGCCGAATAATATTTATTTCCTCAAAAGGATTTTCAGGTCTGGCCCTTTTTCGAGAGAAAGAAGGTGTTTCCTTTTTCATAGCGGTTCAATATTCCTTACCTATGTAAAATAAGAACGGTGCCTCGTTAATATCGCAAGAATGCTGGAGATGGTTATAACGCACTATATAGCAAGACTGGGTTATGTTAATGGATATGGTCCTGTAGCTCAGGTCAAAAACCTCTGAAAAAATTTTCGTCACTACCACAGACTCTGAAGAACCTGTTATTGTCTTCGAGTTCATTTCTGTTGACCAGATGAAAGCAAATTCAGTCATTAGGTTGGTACAGCTCTTTACTACCAGACACATCGGACTAAGCCGCAACTTTTTGTTTTTTTATTGTCAAGATAGAATTACCTATTTTTCTTAGTATATAAATCTCACCGGTACATGTACCTGGAATGTCTCTTGTAAAAAAGTTATCCGATACGTCCTTAGACAGGGCTCTGTGATTTGGAATTTCATTTTGGTAATACAGTTTTCAATAAACCTCGAATGTATTTTATTGATCTATATCAGATTCAAAACATTACAATATTCTACTCGGTTTTCAACAGATCTGATGACCAGATCTGCCAACAGCCATAATCATGTCTATGAGGGGTAAAATTAGTAGCCCATCTGCCAACTTTAATCTCTTCAGATCAGCAGACAAGAGAACACAATAAGTTTGGTTCATTTTTCCTGACGAAAAAGGTATCATTGAGGTGTTCACTCAAGACCTTTACAATTCCAAGTCCAAGCTTTACTTTGTTTGTCGTAACCCAAAACACTACGAAGTCCTCCAAAAATTTCTGATTAAGATATAGAGTATAAAAGAGGGTGCGTTAACAACTCTCGCTCAGTCTAGAAAGGTCGTGTTTCGTGTTTGCTACACTTAACAGCCCGGTACAGATCGTCCTACCATCTATGACAACTTCAACTAAGTATATTTACCAAGCAGCGTACATCGCGGGACAAGTTTGCGGGCAGTCTTCAGATGGGTTGAAGCTACCACTTCCAGGGAAAAGTATGGGTTGGAATCTTGAAGATGACGTCAATTAGTATCACAGAACCTTGTAGCTGTGGATCAGTCTACATTGGAACCACGAAGAAAAGTTTCAAAAACAACACTATTTGATCTCCACAAACTTTATTTGAAAAATATCAGAAAGAAAGCTACTGTGCTAGCGAAACATGTTGTGATATTTTTCAAATAAAGTTTGTGGAGATCAAATCGTGAGGAGTATTTTTTGAAATTACTATGGATATCCATCAAATAACGGCCAAGAATCAATCAGAAAAAAAAAAACGAAGAGAAGTACCCAGAATTGTGAAATTGTCACCTGGTGCATACCGATCAATCAGCAGTAGCGAAACATGCACTTCGAGAAGTACCACCCACGCTATCGTCAAGTCCTCTATAGAATTGAGAGTCATTATTTCAGTCTATATAGGGAAGCCATACAAATTCAGAAACATATAAATAATTTCAACCGCAAAAAATCGACTTCAATAAAATCTGGCTTCCTACACTTAAACGCTCTCCTATATAGGTCATTTGATTGAACCATAAGAATGAAGCCACGTCCACCACCAGCGGAATGCATCAAAACAATTTTGTAGGATCTGATTTGAGGACAACCAAAATACTCCGTCCTCAACGCGTTATTGCCTTTGATTATGATTATATGAGTAGAATACGAAACGTCAGGAATGAAAAACTTGCAGACCACGAACAGCAAAACCGGAAAATGACTCACAAAGCTATAATAATTATAAAACAAGAATTATGGCCATGAACAAATTCCATATCAGAATAGGTACATATTATTGAAACGATTCATAGTTGGCAAAGTATTTATGAATTACTTTTATACAAAAAGTTTACTATAGAAAAAATGGAATACCTTCCTATTATACTCGCGATTGCGCGGCTGGTGAAAATCATTTTTTATGGTCTTGTAATTTAGTGAATAATCACGAATAAGCAATATTTTGAACTGACTGCAGCTATATTTATTAACCCCGTCATCATTATATTTTATGAATCAGGTATTACCAAAACTGTGAAGTATCGTTCAACAAACATAATGTTCCCCTCAGACAATATACCTTGAGTTGTAATGACTCCTTCGGCTAGAGTTTAGCTTATCGAATGAAGAAGTCAAAGTTATTCTAATTTTTTTTTATTTATTAAACACTAATAAGAGTATTTCACTGATGGCATAAACTTCTAATCAAAAGTCATCTCGGGCAAATTTGGTTTTGAATGATTGATTCATAATTCGAATCGTTTTGCACTTTCATTTTGGATTACTACGGAATCAAAACGCAAGACATGTAATTTTGTAGGGAAAATTTTTTCAAGCACTTATCATAATTTTTGCTCATTACATAACTCTCGCGGGAGAGCATACATACCCTGTCCATCGAGAGCTGGAAAGGAGGTCGTACACAAATCTCGATAAGAATAGAAGTTCAAGTGTTTTCACTTGGAGATGAACCCGCCTGGTAGAACGTTTCACAAGTCCCATAACCAAACATTATGGTTCCTAATATGCAAACTTGCATATTAGGAACGTAACTGTGACAGCCTACTCCCAGCTATGACCCTTGTGGAACGAACCGCTAGTGGAAGGATATAGAAGAAAACTAAGAGACGAAACGTATGTTGAAAATGAAAACATCTTCAACTCTTCCGAGACCATTAATATTGGCAACGAATTCCTTCCCACAAGTGAGTAAGTAAGGAGTATTCCAGATTGACAACGTTATGATTCACAAGAAATTATGGTGAGTGACGCTGAAAGTAAGTACTTAAAGCCAATATTTTACGATTTTATGTCCGGGGCTATTTCCAACATACTTATCATACCAGAGAGTATTGTTGAATAAGAATTTCATCATATACCTATAAGGTGCAACTGTAAAATCAGTTTTGTTAAATTATTCAATTTACTATGTATTGTAAGATCATTTCCAAGTTGTTCAATTGATATATAATTTGTTATTAATCTTGTACCAACCTCTCATTGAATGAAAACTAATTTGTCTTTTCAATGTAAATCTAACAGATTCCTCTTATTCATTCCACTAGCTTTTTTAAATTTGTATAAGTATAAAAGGAATAATTAAGAAGTTGTTTTCATACCTGACAGATATATTCACAATTTTCCCACAATCTATCACTTCAACAAAAATAAAAATCCTGTTTCAGATTATGGATTGACTGCACCCATATACCATAATTAAAACTTCAGTGGTAATGGTCAATTATTAATTGATTATTAATAATAACATTTATTTTTCTAATGCATCAGAATAACTTAATGAATGAGTAATGCAAAACTGGAAAATGCCAAACCCCACTTCAAAACTACTTCTATCATTTCATGAAATTTAATGTTTATGAAATGAAAATAATTAATAAAATGATAATTGCCAACTTTCGACGAAAGGAGGTAACGTTTTCCTTCGAATTTATACATTCTTCATTAAATTTTGTTTATTGGATGAATAATCATAACTCATATTTGAAAACAAATTTCCAATCCTTATACATTCAAATGCTAGTTTTGAGAGTCTAACGAACTTCCAAGTACCTGGTTTTATAATTTGAACTATAAATGAATTATCGAAAATTGAAACAGAATTCACTGTATACTTTCATTCCTTCTTCATAGGCTGAAAACACCGAGGAAAACAAACTTTTCAGAAAAAAGCTTTATGAATTGCCGCTTTCTAAAACAATGTGTGTTCAGTTCTTACCGTATTACCTATACAATGAGATCGCAACCAATCCAAAATGCTTGTAGGAGGTGTGTGTATGGACAGCAATGTCACCGTTTAGTTGAAAAGAATGGAGGAGTTGAAGGTCAAACACAGTTCAATTTTCAACAACCATATTTGTGTTCTAGTTATTGAACACATGAACTCCTGAATATCTTAACAATTTAAAGGTCTCGTCTATTTCTCCGAATATATTAAACTATATACCAATTTTGATTTGTTCTTATGATGAATAAAGAAAATTTAATTCGCGTTTACTTACAGATCAACAATATGTTCGTGAAGATAGATATTTATAGACATGTGCCTTTCTCTTTCTATTACCTTAAAGTTACCTATAAGCTGATTATATTCTAATTGAAGTTTTTAAACACTTGATATTTTTGGGAGGTTGGGAAGATGAAATTTATTTTCATGCATAATAAAGCTTATTATTATAATGAATTAATTGTAGTTTTCGAGGCCGTACTTGATGAAAACACTGAGAAAACACAAAATTCTTCTTACAAATCTGAAAAATTGTTCAAGTGGTTTGCTTTTGGCAAACATATCAGAAAAAGACATCTAAATGATCTTTTTGGGAAGAGAATAGACAGCTTGAGAGCAGGACCTTGCAATTGAAAATATATATAAAAATCCTACCTTATACAAGTACTGGTCGAACATCCGGCTAACATCAAAATCATTACCGACGCAGTATGTGGCTTCCATAGTATCACAGTTCCCAATTAAGGTGGTGATAGAAGCCACAATAGGCCTTAAATGTTCCAGCGTTGTGAACACGTCTAGTCCCACTGGTCAAAAAGAAAAAATCCAATCCTGTTTCTGTCACAAAACCACCAATAAGGCGCACACAGTCACTTACAACGTGGTACAGGATGAGAACTCGGAATACGACGCGTATACAACAATCACGAGTGCATGACTCCGGTAAACAGAAACTCGACGTGAACGTACGACCAGCAAAACGGATCCAAGTCGAGTAACGCGCCTTCGCGAGCCGACCCCTCCCCGTGAGATGTCCCCCCACTCGACGAACTGCGCCAACTTGGCGGAGATCGCGCCTGGGCCCGCGTCGATCTCAATCTCAAAAATCCATGAAAAAGGAATAAATAATAACGTCCCCTCTGGTTTGGAGTGTATGTTATTTCGTGATATGTGTGCCATATTCGTTCGGAATTGAATTCGAAATATTAAGACGTTTCCAGATAGTAGGTATTATTCCAAATAAAAATGGATGATGTGTATAAAAACAAATGATCTCATTTTCTGTAAGACAAAGTGTGTAGAAGCTTTTCCATGTCTCGTTATGGCTTCCTAGAGGTCTCTTTCAAACTAAATCACTTCTAGACCTGGAAAACAAACTTAAAGGGATATACTTTACACGAAAGTATCTTTAGAAGAGCTATTGCCAACCTCAAGACATTCTTCATTCAACTATAAAATCAGTCTAGCTTTCATTGAGTTATACGACTTTCCCTTGTTTGTTTTGAATCACCTTTCAATTTGGTCAAGGACCTAATCTTCGGATCTAAAAGTTTCCGATTCTGAGAGAGGGGTAATACTTAAGTCTCTTCCGGTCTCTTCCTATTTGCCATTAATTCCTCATAACCAGGAAAATACATCGATGCTAACCCAGTGCTGCTTGTTCCTTTCGAGGCATTTCAAATTATTTTGTGGTCGTAATTATATAGTCTTGCATGAATATGCTGGAAGAATATGCGGGATAGGAGAGCTTGAATTTTGAACCAAACATAACAGCTATAATGAGCTTCTCTAAATTACAAACAGAGAAAAAAAACAAATGTAAGCTAAATATAAAGCTTACCCCGGTAGTATGTTGATGGCACATAACGACATATATGGTAATGTATACAAACTGCGCTCACGTAAGGCATTACACATAGCTGAGGGTTTTGTTAAGAATCGAAGCAACGCAATGTCTTCAGTTCAACTTCGTACTCCCTGTGCTAATCTGGGATTTTTTCGGAGGATTTTCAGGTGGTGCCAAGTAAGCAACCATCCAGGTTATTAGGTCTCAGAGAGGAGGACCAGGACCCTACTTGGCAAGGATATTAGCTAATCTAAAAAAATGAACTTTAAATGTTCAAGCCCGTCGCTTGGTATATCCGAGACGGGCTCGAACGTTTAAAATTCATTTCCTCAGATTTGTTTACTGCCTGTCTTCTGCCTGACTAATAAGAAAAGATATTAGCTTTCTCGTTGCCACTGATCCCTTGTGACCTAGAAACTACATCAGTTTAGACTCCGAGTTTTTACTTCTGTTTGGGTGTCGGATTATTGTGCCAAAGTAACTCTTTCGATGCATTTCATGGAGAATAGTGGTTGGGTTACGGAGAAAATTGAAGAACTTGACAAATTCGAAGTAACTTTCCACTTGCTTTCTCAACATAGTTTTGTTTCTTCAATTCGATCATAGAGAAGCTATATAATACATTCTTATGTACAATCGTCGGTGAACTTTGTTCATTGTTTGTTCGCTAAGAGCAACCAACGGTACAAGATTTCCACTTTGCTTTGGTCTAAAGTCTATCCAAATCCAAGATAGAACAAAACAAAACCGAAGCGTGATGTTCACGTGATCGCCCAGTGTCAGATGGAAAGGGCAGCATTCATTGGTGAATTCGCCTTCTTGGTACGAGTTCGATACCAGCACAGGGTTGTTATCAGTCGTTTGCGTGTTTGTGTGGCGTGCGTTATAGTATATTGTTTAAAATGGTTTTCCAAGATGTCCAGTACAGACACTGCCGATGACACTGTGAGCTATCCTCTGAGTCCAGCCAGGAAACGATCCAAAAAAGACATTTGAGTGTTGGGATGAAAGAAGTGATTTTTAATGTATTCAAGAAAGAGATGGAAGAAATTGAGACATCGACTGTCGACGAAGTCATATCGAAAGTGTGTTGCGCTTCGATTTACAATGTTTTACGGGAATATAAACAAAATCATACATTTTCCAAACCGAATACAAATCAGA